AAATTTATAGTAGTTGAAATATGTAGTAATGAACCTCTGAGGTCCAAAAATATGACATATTTGGGAATGATTCTTAAACTTATGAACTAACTGTAATATAGTTTTGTGAATTTATTGCACTGATATTGTAAAACCTGTACCTTGTGGTACATCTGTCCCTAAATAAGTGTTGTTTTCTCCCCTTAAATATTGCTGTAAACAGTGGTACCCATTGTAGTGTATGAGTTTTTAAATGTTTTATAAGAAAATTACCTTAATTTTACAAGTTTCCTCATTTTAAATATCTCATTGTAAATAAGCCTGTCTTCCTAACCAGATATTTATGTGTGTGTAAATATATGTTCTATTGATTAACTAAAAAAAAAGATATTATAATACAAGTTATCATCAATAGATAATTTTCCATGTTTATGTCCATTAAATGATTTGCTTCTTTCTTTTCCTCATTGATTCTATTCTTAGAATAAAATCTCTGTATTTAATTTGTATCATGTTGGCCATTTTGTTCCTTGGAGAGGATCTTCTTATGTTAAATCTATATGTTTCATGATCTTCTATTTCCTAGATATGAATTTCCATATACCTCACTGAAAAAAATTTTAAAAAGAAAGAAAGAAATATCACCTACTTTTGGCAGCTTATATGAGAAATAAACAGTATTTTAAATTATCTGGCGTAAAACAGATGTTCAGTCGGTAGCAAGTATTGTGATTATGTCTCAATTCCTGATAGGCTAAGGTCTTTGTGACCTCAGAAAGGTTTCTTAGATATGAATGAATCTAACAAATGAATCTAACATCGCTTTGCTCCTGAGAGACTACAAGGGATGATGCTTAAAGGGAAAAGTCATCCACCCAGAGCTCTATACATGGATTGAGTTCTTGTGAGACCCCCAATCTATGCTTCATTGTTTCAGGAACACTGTCTTTGGTGTTCTCAGGATGACTCCAGACAGCCACATTAGAAAGTTTTACTCCTTTAAGCTTTTCTGTGTTCTACTATTACAATATCTATAAATCTGCTGTTTCTTGGGGCATATAATTATTTTTCCAACTCTTGTAGAAATGCTTCCAACTTGGGGACCCGCAGGTGGTGTGGGGTGGTTAAGGTGCTGGACACTCCCACATGGCAGACCATTGTTCAAGTTTCAGACCTGGCATCTTGTTTTCTCTCTCTCTCTCTCTCTCAAATTAAAAAAAAAATAAATGAGTGAATAAATAAAATTAAATAAATAATTCTTAAAAAAAAGAAATGCTTCCAACTCTTCAAAGAATACATGACTTCTTTGTTGCAAGTCTATGGTGTATAACTCATTAATAGCTATTATCAAGAGAAATATAGAATCATTGCTTGTCTATTTCTTCCCCAGGTAGAAGAGAAATGTGCATTTATTAGCTCTATCATTGGCTTTAGGGAAACTGTACTTTTCTATTCCTGGATTTGTGTCTTGATAATATTTCAGTTAGGAAGAATATATTAATTTTAGATAACTGTATTATAAAAGACAATGGTATTCTTTTTAGGTAACCAGAAAATGGTAAAAGGACATACATTAAGGTTCTTCAAAAAGTTGATAGAAAATCGATATTATGAAAAATATATATACTTGAATTTCAACTATTTTCTACATCAATATAAGCTTATATTTTAATTCCATATTCTAGTAATGTTTGCAGCTTTCTTGTATATTTTTGGAGGTATGCCTTGTGACCCTGAATCTAAAGTGTCTATTCTAGAAGAAATACTAGAAATTCAAATTCTATGTAAAACATCTTTTGAATGAAAAGATTAAAGAGACCTTTGAACATAAAAGATATGAAGAAATTGATGATGAAGATATCTTGGATTATAAAGATATGGTGAAATCGATGTAATAAATACAGATATTACATTTTAATGTTTTGAAAAAAGAGTTTTACACTTTAAAATTGTTTGTTTGTTAGAAAAAATGAAAATAGTCCTATTAGTAGCCAGAATTGGAAATGTTTTAGCAGAAATAGCAAGATGATACAATGAAATAACATAGACTATGACATCAAAAATTTCTTCCAATGAATAAACTTACAAGTGGATAGCAATACTCCAGACTTCAATGGGTAGATGTATCTCATCATGAACAAATCCCCCAGAGTAATGCAGTATATCACTGAAAATGTTATCCTGTCATATTCGTGATCATCTCTGATTCTCAGATTATATTGTCAATTTATTAATACATATATATGTAGACTCCACTCAGAATATGTATTCAGTAAACTAATTTTGTTGTCCTACTTCTTGGCAAGGGATACTATAGACACTGTAGATATTAAACTGAAAAAGAGCTACTTTGGGATTGCAAATTCCCACAAACAGCTATAAACACACCAGTGTGTTAAAGTCTACATTATCAGGAAGACCAGTCAACGTTGTGATGTAAATGTGAATGATGGTTGCAAAAGGAAAACACCATGATTCAGATATTTATTGACAATTAAATTGTATCAATAATCTTACAGTTGCCAAATGCAGTTTATCCCATAGGACTAAGATTACCCATCAAAATACAAGGTAAGTGCCATTAAGGTGGCTGTGTCCCACATGACTGACTATGCAGTTCAAGTTCCAGACCAGATGACCTAAAAAACACTGGGCACATGTTCAAACATGTCCAAAATTCCAAGAGGAGAATAAAGAGAAGGCATTGAGGCATGGCTATCTCCCTTCGTGGATGCCTTCTAGCTTTATCTCTCCCTCTCACTATTTTATTATAAAATACTATAAATATATTTATAATAAAATAAGGAGACATACCTTATTTGTGAGGCACAGGTGTAAAAGGTTTTATACTTCTTGCAAGCTGATGAGATTACACATATGGAGGAAACTAAATTAGTGTAAGAATAAAGGATCCCAGAAACTATTTCACCCCCCCATCTACATAGATGCAAAACTCATCATGTCATTAAGAGAGGTGTCCAGGGCCCAGCTGGTGGTATAGTGGTTTAGCACTGGACTCACACATGGCTAACCACAGTTAAGTCCTGGAGCTACCAGCTTGAAAATAGTGCCAGATTTATGTACACATGTGCACATATGCCCAAAATCCTGAGGGGAGAATGGAGAAGAGATTTTGTGAAGTGACTGTAGCCTCAGGGGGTGATTTTTCACTTTTTCTCTCTGTGTCTCTCTCTGTTTCTCTTCAGTAAGCAAATGTGCCCTATGGAAAATTAAAAAAAAAATACACAAGTGTCGGGGACCAGCAGTTAGTGTAATGGATATGTCGTTGGACTCCCACGTAGTTGACCATGGTTCACATCCCGAACCCGGGGGCTTAAACTCACGCCGGGCGCGTGTGCGTGCGTGCCCAAGATCCCAAGAGGAGAATGGAGGAGAAGGGATTGTGGTGTGGCCACCCCCCCTGGGGGTGATTTCTTGCTTTCTATCTCTCTGTCTCTCTCTGTCTTTCTGGCAAGCACACACGCCCTATAGCAAAAACCTCTCCAAAAAAAAAAAAAACACAAGTGTTTAAACAGGCAATGTGGACCATATAAATTCACAGAAATGAGAGCTTTCTAAATTAGTAAAGAAAAACAGCCACAAAACCATTAAGTTAAGTAATGACAAAGACAGGACACTCATGAGCAGAGAAAACTGAACCCACAGTCCCCATAGGTGAGGATTCATGGTGACTGTATAATGCAGTGGGTAACAGATGGCCCCAAAGTGTTCATAGGGCATCATGGTGAAGAGAAAGTCATCCAACCCCAAATGAGTACAAAAAAGTACATATTGATGATGCAGCCTTCATAATTTAGGGTTTTGCTCTGTGACAGTACATTCAATAGCATCTTTAGGAGGGTGGAAGAAGTGAAACACAGGACAAAGGAGAGGTTAAAGAAGAGGAAATCTAAGGATGTGTTCTCTTGACACTATAGAAATTTTTGCCAATTACTTTGTAGACACTGTGGACATTGGATTAAAGAAATAGAATCATAAATATGAGAAGAAAACACAATGGAAAGTTATAAACAAAATTGGTGTGTTGAACTATAAATTAGGAAAAATTAAGGTAGTTATAGTACAAAGAATGTTGGATACAAGACTGGAAGATTGTGATGTCAGATTTTTTTGTATTATACAATCACATAATTGACAATAGTTGTCAAGGAAAAAATATATATATATATATTAGAGAGATATTTTTGCTATAGCACACTTGTGCTTGCCAGAGAGACAGAACGAAAGAAATCACCCTCAAGGAGGGGTGGCCATGCCACAATCCCTTCTCCTCCATTGTCCTCTCAGGATTTTGGGCATGCATGCACACACATCTAGCATGAGTTTTAAGGTGCTAGGTCCAGGACTAGAACCATAGTTGACCACATTAGAGCCTAAAGACATAGGCATTATGCCATTTGCTGGTCACACCAAGTGCACTTTCTTTACACACACACAAAAAATTGTATTTCTTTCATAATTATTTTTATTTATTTTATTATTTTTAGCATACAATAATTGTCTATAATTAAATCATAAAAATGAATTTTCCAGCATGAATACAGTGTATATTAGACCAATCAAAACATTACCATTCACATTATCATCATCAGATAATTTTCCATTTTTGTGTCCCTCAAATGCCTTGCTTCTTTTTCTACTTAATTCCCTCCCAAGTGTACTTCTTTTGTTCGTGTAACAGACGTACAAAACAGAATTATTTTAAATAGAAAAAAATTTAAAAGTACTTGGCACATGCCATTTGAGAAGAAATTATTCTGTGAAGTCCATGTTTCCCCGTGAAATGAAGATATTTCCAAGTATTCCTGATCTATGGTTAGGATAATCTTATGAAAATACAAAAATGAACAAAGAAAAAATCTTACTATCAGAGCACAAAGCTTAATAAAATGATGCTCTTTCATTGTATAGAGAGGTTGAAATCAAAGTTACAGAAGTTACTGAAGAACATTAGAAGGAAAAAGTTCTACTTTCATAATAGGATCAAATTATCACCATTTCTGGGTCTAATGCTCTGAACGCTACTAACAAGAACACTTATTTGGCACCATGACAATTTATTCTATGATAGTTTTCTTCCCGATGAGTCTTCCCAGAGCCCTCTTTATGTCTTTATTCCTCAGACTGTAGATGAAGGGGTTCAGCATGGGTGTGACCACAGTGTACATCACAGAGGCTGTTGCACTTGAGTGGGAATTTTGATTATCAGCTGCACTAAGATACACTCCTAGACATGTACAATAAAATAAGGAGACAACTGAGAGGTGAGAGGCACAAGTGGAAAATGCTTTGTACTTCCCTTGAGCTGATGAGATTTTACGTATGGAGGAAACAATCTTAAAATAAGAGTAAAGAATCCCAATGAGGGTGCCACCACCCAGTAATATGGCCCCCAAATACATGACAATATCATTTAAAAAGGGATCAGAACAAGCAAGGTGGACCACCAAATTAAGTTCACAGAAAAAATGGGGAATTTTGGTGTGTTCACAGAAGGACAACCTCAACGCCATTGAGCTTTGTAACAAGGACTGCAGGGCAGTCAGGATCCAGGATGCCAGAGCTAGCAACACACAGAGATGGGGATTCATGATGACTGTGTAGTTCAGGGGGTGACAGATGGCCACAAACCGGTCATAGGCCATCACAGTCAGGAGGAAGTCATCCAACACTATAAAGAATGAAAAAAAGTACATCTGGGTGATGCAGCCTACATAGGTTATGACCTTGGTCTGTTTCTGGATGTTCACCAGCATCTTTGGAACAGTGGTGGAGGTGAAACAGATGTCTACAAGGGACAAGTTGGAGAGGAAGAAGTACATGGGGGTGTGCAGGTGGGAGTCTGAGATGGTGGCTAAGATGATGAGCAGGTTTCCAATCACAGTGATCAGGTACATGGAAAGGAAAAGCCCAAATATGAGGGGCTGCAATTCTGGTTCTTCCGATAATCCCAAAAGAAGAAATTCCAAAATACTTGTCTCATTTCTTGGTTCCATGTGGTAGAGATGACTTTCAGGAAATAGAAAGATAAAATAACTAATTTTCAGTCAAAAGAGTTATAATAAAATATTACAATTTATGTTTTTCAGTGAATAAACTAATCTACATATATCATGTATGGTATTTCTCCCTTTCCTATAACCCTCCCTTTGAGCTATCTCCAATTAGGAATTCCTGTCCCAATCTTAAACTTTCTTCAAGAGGTTATAAATTCCATAGTTTTAGTGAGAAATTCTTGCACTCGTTTGAGTAATGTAATTTATCCCATGTTCCAGACAATGACTGGGAAATGAGTATAAGACTTTGAGAAACTAAAATACTCAAAATCCATTGACGAATAGGAAATATGAGCTGATAATAGGATAAAAATAAATGTTTCACTAGAAATTGCAATTTATTATGTTTTCAAAGGTGTTAAGCTTTATTCTTTGGTTTATATTACCATTTTGATTGTGATCATGTATGCAAATCCTGATAACCATTAAGTTTTTCACATTTAATGTCTGAAAGCCTCATAACAATCAAACTAAATATTTATATTATTAAGTAATTTGCAAAACTTTAGTTGTATTTTTTTGTACCAAAGGTACATATACTGTGAATACAAAGCCTCTCAGTGCTAAATAAAATTTTCCCCATACTTTTTTTAAAAGATCATGTAATGTATCAGATATTAGCAAGTTTTTCTAGGAACATGAAAATATGTAGATAGGAGATAGTGTGCATGGGTGATTTTTCCTGGCAGTGGACAACACAAGTGGAAAAGAAGATGACCTGTAACAGTCCCAGAGGAAGATAGGACTGAAGCTGCAAGGGAAGTTAATGACTTGCAGAAGAAAGGAGAAAGAGGGAGAAAATGAATTATCAGGGGATGTTGAGGAACTGGAGGACCTGATTATGGAGAAACTTGAAGATGCTGACGGTTCCTTATTAACATGCTGTTTTACCCTTCATGTATGTCGCCATGTGAAAACATGTTCACAGCAGCAAGATTTTATTTGGCAAGCTTCCCATGGACACAATAGGTAGGAGTTGCATTTTTTAAAGAATTATTTTTATTATTTTAACTTTATTTATTTATTTATTTAAATTTGACCAGAGAAGGACAGAGTGAGAGAGAGATAAAAACAGAGAGGGAAAGTGAGAAAGCAAGCCACCAAATCTAGGACTCAAACCAACATCAACCATGTGGGAGTTCAGTGCCCTTAACTACCATGCCACTTGCTGGCACAGGAGTTACATTTTTTTTTAGAGAGAGAGGTTTTTGTTATAGGGCTTGTGCACTCGCCAGAAAGAGACAGAGAGACAGAAGTGAGTAATCACCCCCAGGGGGGATGTCCACACCACAATCCCTTCTCCATTCTCCTCTCGGGATCTTGGGCACACACGCACATGTGCCCAGCATGAGTTTAAGCCACTAGGCTCAGGACTCTAACAGCGATCAACTACATGGGAATCTAGTGACATAGCCATTATGCCAACTGCTGGTCCCAGGAGTTTAAGTGGCCATTCTGTGTTTCAAATTTAAAGAAACATTAAAGAATCTGCTAAGAAGAGAGAGGTGAAGGCAATGGGCTGAGTGGCAAACAGATCTGATAGACCCAGATGGTCCAGAGAGATTAGAATAAAGAGGACCTCATCAGCTCTATCAGATGTTAACACTGGTGAAATGTTCTTGATGCCCCAAGTAAGAAAGAAAGAGGGGAAAAAAGAAAAAAGAAATAAAGAAAGAAAAAAGAAAGAGAGAGAAAGAGAAAGAAAGAAAGAAAAACTTAGAGATTTGCACACACACACAAATAAAAGAACTAGCAAAGGCCAAGATAAATTCAGCCTCAGTTCTCCTAATGAAATTAATGCAATGCAATATAAAACTCTTTAGCTCTCCCCTCTGATTTGTCAAATCAAACTAATTTATTTTTAATTTGTATGCCTCAAAGGAGAGAAGGTATTGGGTAATGTCTGTCAGGAACTGCTAGGACAAGGGACTATTTAAAAGCATTTCTTTCTGATCTTTGTAATGAATACGGAAATATGCTCAAATAAAGTTCATCTTAAAAGTTCAACAAAAATGCCCACACTTCAGTGCACATCCTTCCACAACAAATACACAAATTTCCTATTCCTTTTCTGCAAATCTCAATGGACATGTTCTAATTTTAATGGAATGACTTTATTCCTCCTATTTCCTCTTCAGTCTCATCCAATTAATGCTACAATTTCTTTTTGTTCTTAAGGTTTTTTCTTCTTTTTCCCCCTTGATTACCTTCTTTTGTCTCTCCCACATTTCCCACCCTCTCCCCACACTGTCTCTAGCATCTGCTACTGTTTTCCATGCTTTTATATCAATTCTCTAAGGAACACTTATGAAAAGCCAAAAAGTGTATGAAATACTCAACATCCCTTATCATAACGTAAATGCAAATCAAAACCACAATGAGATACTACCTAACTCTGGTCATAATGGAAAAGATAAAAAAAAAATGAAAATTGCTGGCAAGACTGTGGAGAAAAGAAAACTCTCCTACACTGTCAGTGGGAATGTTAAGTTTTTCTCTATAGAGTGTGTACACTTGTCCACTGGAAAAGGACCAAAAGAAAAGGGAAAGTCACAAATCAGCCACCAGGTGAGATGGCCACACCACAATCCTTTCTCCTTCGTTCACCTCCTAGAATTTGGGGCAAGAATGCATATGCCTCTGGTGTGATTCTCAAGTCACTGTGTCCAGGACTTGAACCATGGTCAGCTATGCAGAATTCCAGTGCCTTAACCACTACATCACCTGCTAAACATTATATTCTTATTATTTAATTGTCAACAAAAATCCATGCATTTCAGAGATTAAAGATTCTTTTGTTTTGTTTAGCTAGAGGGCATGTGAGCTTCCTAAAGAGAGAGAGAAAGAGGGGAAATGAGAAATCATTCTCTAGGGAGGATAGTCACACTGCAGTCCTGTCTTCTCCAGACTCTTCGTGGGATTTTGAGCACACATGCACATGCATCTAGCATGATTTAAGATGCCAGATTTGAAAATCAAACTGCTCGTTTGATCATGTGAGATCCAGCTACCTTAACCTCCACACTACCTGAACGTCCCAACACTTAACTTTTTAACATATAAAATCAATTAATTACCAGTTAATGCATTGGCCAGAGAAATAAGCACAGTAATTTCTTGACTCTGGGGAAAGCAGATTGGTCTCTGAAGTGACATCAGGTAAACATTATCAATTTCATTTTCTTTTCTTTTTTTATTGGGGGAAGGGAGGTTTTTACTATAGGGCATGTGTGCTAGCCAAAAAGACAGAGAGATAGACAGAAAGTGAGAAATCACCCCCCAGGGCAGATGGCCACGTTGTAATCCCTTCTCCTCCATTCTTCTCTCGGGATCTTGGGCATGCACACACACACACCCGGCGTGAGTTTAAGCCACCGGGTCTGGGACTTGAACCACGGTTGACTACATGGGAGTTCAGCCACATAGCCATTACACTAATTGCTGGTCCCTCAACTTCATTTTCTGTAAATCTTTTCTTCAGTCCTTACAAGGCTCTAAGACTCACCTGGATGCCCTCTCTGACAGGAAGGACTCTATGTGAGGCTATGAACTCCTCCCTGGATGGTTTATGATGGAGACTGAAGTGCGGTCTCTAGACAAGATAGCAGCAAACTGTCAAGCATCAATGCTCTAGCCAAGCTAAGGTTGCACCCTCTGATGAACAATAACCAAAAAATATCCTTACATCTGCCTATATCTGCTCATTTGGCACATTTTCCTGTTGTTAGCACAATCCCTGAGCACCTGATTTCCCTGGGGGACACAGTCAGGCTGGAAAGAAAATTTTTTCCTACTGATTCTCTGTTCCCCAAAGACCAGGTTAGACATCACTTAAATGGAGTCTTTATTGTTTCTTCTCTGGAGACTGTTGTCTAAAGAGTTCTCATCTTATTAATAGTTCTGTAAAATCAAAATTTCCCCCAGAACCTGAGGCATCTGTCTTTCATATTTCTCTTTGAAGACCAAAGCATTGAATTGTTGTGTGGCTACGGTTCCTGATATCTTCAGAAAATTGCTATTCTTTTTCATCAAGGCAGAGAATGTTCATCTGCTATACAACCTTGAGTACTTATAACAACCTGGACTTCATGATGCTATGACAAAACAACTAGAAGCTTCAGCATATAACACAACTTAATAGTGGTCATTAAGTCCTCCGTTTGTGAAACATTTGGTAATTACAAGAGATATGCTTAGAACATTTATGTCCCATATACTGATGTTAGACTGTTATACGAATTGGAATAGCTAGGTAGTGTGGTGGTTAAGGAGGCTGGTTCCCACATGGCTGACTGCAGTTCAAGTCCCAGACCCTTTGGCTTAGAAAAAGATGCTAGTTGTTTCTGTATTCATGCCCAAAATCTTGAGAAAAGAATTGATGAAGAAGGATATTAATATGAGAGGTGATTTCTCATTTTCTATGTATCTATGACTCTCTCTGTCCTTCTGAAATGAATGTGTATACCCTATAGCTAAATAAAACCAAACTTAAAACAAGAATGTTATATGGGTCATATAATTTAAATTTTAAATGACTTTAGTACTATTAGGAACTCATTCTACAATTGCAGAAATGAGACTCAAAAGGGTTGACTAATCTGAAGAAAGTAATGAACTAAGTAAGGGATGAGGTTTGATGAGAGTCTCGCCAAAATATTTATAGGCCTTCTGCTTCAATTCAGTGGTCCTCCAACCGGGTGATTATGCCTCTAGGAGACACTAGAAATTGCCTTGGGAAATCTCCATTGTGATAACTGGGAGGTGCTACTGTAGTACTTGGTAGGTTGAGCCAGGTATACTGCTTGACACATTAAAATGCAAAGCAAAGCTCACACCAATCATCCAACTAGAATGTTAACACTGGGGAGGCTGAGAGACTGCCTAGACCAGAATATCTCCAATGTCCATGAATCACCTAGAGAACTTGTCTAAATGCAGATTATGATTTGGA